GTGTCATTATTAATTTAAGTTCTGCCACAATTTCCATTTAGACTTACTACCTTTATACAACTGTCAGTAGTAGAATAAATAATAAATAACATAATATAAGCTCCGTAAGACTGACAAATCCACAAATTTCAAATCAAATTCAAATGTGTCAAATGAATCGTCAAACAAGAACTATCAAGGATCCCACCTAGAGTCCTTTTCCCGCCCACCAACCCATGAATACGTAACATTATGCTCCTTCCTTAGTCTTTTTATTCAAAGTGTTTGACACACGGAAAACTCGATCTGAAATTGGCGTTTTGCAAACTGTGTGCTAAGGATTTAGCGCACGACATGTGTCATTTTGCACATGACTTTTGCCAATTTTAACATTTTTAACCTCTAATGTTTAGCTGAAACCAAACGCAACGCAGCCGTCAGAAAAGTGTCATCATTACATCGCAAATTATTTCACAAAACTGGCAAAAACTGAGTAAGTCTGCTGCTAATTTGTAGTCGTAGAAAAAATAGCGTAAAAAACTCGTTTGAAAACTTCTTTGTACACTCGTTCGACTTGTGGCTCTGGCCTGCGGCTCGAGCCAACAAACTGTCGAACTCGTGTGCAAAACGTCATTTTCGAAACTCGTTGTTTAATATACTATTAATATGAGGAAAGATGTAATAGACGAAGAGCTGGCTACATAAAAAACCTTATCATCGTTACATTGCGGCGACTTTTTAAAGGTTAAGAAAAATGAAGATGGTAAAAATTAAAAAAGAAACCGCAGCGTACGGCTGCTTCGTCTGGTGAACAATAAGATTGTAGGTTATTTTTTGCATACTATTGGGCTTTTCCCTTTAATTTAAGCCAAGTAAGGTGATATTAAAAAATTAAGAAAATTACCACAGGCTAAAGATGTTCAGTAATGATATATCTCAAATTAAAACCACAAAATTTAATAAAAACTATGTACATTTATTAATTAAATAACTCCAGTTTGAAAGTGAATTAAAAAGTCATTAAAAAAAACAATAAATTAATATTATATTGATATAGCAAAACTTAAATTAAATATTACTATATATAAATAATCAAACGTAATCGTTTGTTTAAGTTTCATCAAAAAAGAGGTTTCAATATAAGGTAAGTTTCAGTAGAAAGTTAAGAAAAAGGCAAAAAGATTCTAAAGCAAAACGTAAATGAATACTTAGCTTTTGCTCTGATGCTGTAGTCAATCAGTGTTATTTGGTGTCGTACTGGGGCCCATATCCATTACGTAACTGCTTCAAACCATCAGAAAACTTGTAAATTTGCGGAAAAGGTGAAAACTCGTCAATTTCACACCAGCCTCCAAAAGGGAACCTTCACAGAACCATTCAGAGAAACCCAAAACTGCTCAAAATCTTCGGCTCAAAAAAAAACTACTGCTCAATCTTCTTAAAAAACTCGTTCAAAAAATTACTCCAAAAAACTCCCAAAATGTCAAATCTTTCCCTTAAGTTGGTAAGGGACACACCTATAATAAATGATTTTTTCTCTAAGTATATGAAAGAAAGTAAAAGAAAAAACTATAACTTACTCGCAGGGCTATTCTCCGCCACATACGATGATACCAAAAAACTTTTCAAAGAAGACGAGAACCACCCTGGGACTTCACCAGTGGTTGAAATGGAAGTGTCGAAAAATCCGAATAAAATGTTAAAATTCTGCCGGAGATTATCTTTTGAAGACAAAAAATCAACACACACCAAACTGTGCTCGAAATAGGGAAACTTCAGGAAAGTTATTAATAACATTTAAAGAAAAATTTAAATAATAATATAAATGGCAACCCTGCGCCATCACATCGAACAGCTTGCATTCACGGTACTACAAAATTGCAGCTGACACCGATAGGGATGGGCATTCATTTGCTTAAATTCTGCTAAGATGTAACAAAAATAAGAAATTATTTTAGGCTGCTACAACATGGCTAATTTTCTTGTGAAGTATCCTATGGTGTAGCCATTATGAAATGTAATGTCTGCCAGCGCAATCCCTGGGGCTTAAAGATGGAGCAGCTAATCTAAAGGGTGAAATTTTGACACTAAAAATATTATAAGATACACGAGTTATAATTAATTGCAGAAATAGAAATTTGAAACATAATACATGTAATTCTACAAATATTTTACGATTGCAGATATCGACTCAGAGAACCCGTTTGCGAGAGGAGGATCTGCAGTACAAATGAGTCAGATACAAATAGTGAGACAGAATAGTAAATGTAGCAATCTCTATTATTGAAATAATAAAAAATATAATTATAAGTATCGTATGCATGATTTATCTTTATACTTAAATGCATGAGGCGATAAAGGCGCTCCCCGAAAAGCGCTAGGTTAATATCCGCACACTTTTGTTGCGAATTGAACGAAAAGAAATTGAAAAAAGTACTGAGAAATAAGTATGCCAGAGGCGCTCAAATGACTTACCCATTTTTTGCCCACGCTCTTCGGATGTACGTTAAGATACACGTAACGTTTTGCGAAATATACCAGAAAAAAAAAACAGTGTCAGATCTCTGCACTAGTGTTTGCGTCTTGGTCTTTACACACCGGCCGAATTGCGAATGTCTTCTGGTAGTACGCACACTTTGATCGCGCGCACTGGGCGATAGAGAAATCATCTGAGTTTGAATTTTGAAACGAAATTGAATTTAATTTAATGATTTATGCGATCATTCTCAACCAAGAATTAATAATCGAATAATGTAAAGAAAAATAAACATAAAATTAAACTACTTATTTTTGCACATCACTTATATTGTACAAATGATTAAATATTGTAAACCCACACCCAATTAAAGAAAACTAAAAAAAAGAATAATGAGATGCGTGAACACTTTTGATAACAGTTTGCCGCTGATTTAGCCACGATCTTTTTATCTATCCTTTTTTATACAGCTATTAAAATAAATTAATATGACATTCCACCAATCGGCATGCATCTATGCCATAATTTTTTTTCAAAATTTCATGCCTCTTTTGCCTTGTCTGCCGATATTTTAGCGACGAGAAAAATGTCTGCCAACAATTTCCCACGTTATTTAATAATAAATAAAGCAAGCAATAAAGCAAATATTTTCACTGGTAATACCACTAGAGTTAAAATTATCTCCGGAAATTTTTTTGATCTCAAGAATATTTTGAAAATTATCCCGAGTCGAAGACGAGGGATGATTTTCTAAAAATATTCATTAGCGAGAAAAAATGTCCGGATTTAATTTGACCTCGTGTGGTATTCGGTAATAAAATTCCACACCAAATTGTGTTTGAAAATCAAATAATTAAAAAGTATTTTTCGATTTTTGGTCGAATTGATTATTTAGACAACTTATTACTATGACAACTAAGAGACACCCAAACTTAAAAACTATTTCAGTTTTGAAGCTGTCAAGCGGCACGGCTTAAAAAAAATGTTTCGCTTCGGTCATGAAAGCAAAGAAAATATTCGCCAGGAGATTAAGCAGTTGACACCCGCGAATACTAGGAAATCGAAGTCAAGCGTATGGAAGCAGTTTACAAACTTTCATCTAAGCTTTGTAATTGAAATGTATCAAAATTATCATGTAAATAAATAAAAACCAGACTCTCAAAAAGATATTCTGTCATTATAAACGTTAAAAAATTTCCAGTATAATTCGCTGTTGGGTGCCCACAAGGAAAAAATGTTCACTAAAATTTATCCGTTGCCATGGTGTGCTACGTTCGGTATATTTGTGGAACAATGCGATTGCCGAACTGAGAAAAAACTGCATTTGTTTGAGACGATTAATTAAGAGGTAGAATAAAAGACTGGGGACTCATGTGGCCGTCACTAACTTGGGTGAATAGTATAAAGGGGCAAAAAAGAAACTCAAGGAGGAGATTGCAAGATCCAAAAAGCAAAAATGGAAAGAACTGTGCGACGAACTGAACGCGGATGTGTGGGGAAGGGCATACAGAATAGTCACCAGGAAGTTTATGAATAGGGCTAGAGTTCCTATCCCGGCAGATGAAGTCAGAGAACAAGTGAGGGCTCCTTTCCCATCGAGACCAGACATTGAATGGGGTAACTTGAATATACCTACTGAGGAAGTGCCGGTTTTTACTACGGATGAAATTTTAAGCGCCGCGCGTAACATAAAGAATGGTAAAGCGGTAGGTTTGGACGGAATACCTGGAGAAGTGTTGAAAGCAGCAGCTTTGAAGGATCCGGAGTCCATTACTAACGTTATGAATTGGTGCTTAGTCCGGGGCCATTTTTCGAGATTGTGGAAGGTTGGAAAGCTGGTTTTGAAAAGCCCAAAATGGAGAGTTCATCTGCGATAAACTACAGACCAATATGCCTACTTAATGCCAGCGGGAAACTCTTTGAATCCTTAATAAAAGCTAGACTGGAGACTGAACTGGAGGAAAACGATAGACTGTTCGATAGGCAATTTTAGTTCAGAAGGGCAAATCCACAATAACCGCTCTTAACATAATTGTGGACAGGTCGACCTGATAAGGCAACGCAGCTGGAAGAGTAGGGGATACGTAGCCCTTCTCACCTTGGATGTGAAAAACACATTTAACTCTGGTCCCTGGCGGGGTAGTATAGACCAATTGAAGTCAATGGGGATCAGCAGGTACATAATTAGGGTAATCCAGTCCTACTTATCATGCAGGAAAATAGAGGCGAAGGACGGCCAAACATATAAAATGAGTTGCGGGGTTCCCCAGGGATCAGTACTTGGCCCGACACTGTGGAACGTCTTCTATGACCAGGTGGATTGAGGTTGGACATAGGAACTGGGTGCGAGATTCTTACTTACGCAGATGATCTGGCACTCCTGATCACAGCCTCAACGCCCAATATGTTGAAAATAAGAATAGAGACTGCGGCGCTGATAATCGACAACAGGCTGGATAGCATGGGTATCAGCTTAGCAAAACAGAAGACGGAGTTGCTTGCTTTGGTGGGACAGCGGAAATTAGAAGGCTGGAGAGCTTAGATCATGGGAGTGACTATTATGCCCTGCAAAGCTGTAAAGTACATGGGAGTGTGGTTGAACAGTAGTCTGCGTATGACCACCCACGTCCGCAGAATAGTGGAAAAGACCACACGTGCAACCAACACCCTGTCGCGGCTTATGCCCAATGTTGGCGGATCTAGGACTATGAAGAGGAGGACGATGGCACCGGCCGTGACTTCCATGATATTGTATGCCGCTCCAATTTGGAGAAGAGCTATACAATATCAACACTATCAAAATATGCTGCAATCTATGATTAGGAGATTGGCCTTACGTATTACGAGCACCTACCGCACTGCGCCGACAACGGCAGTACTGGCATTGGCTGGTGTCATGCCTATTGTACACCAGGTACTTTGCCTTGAAGTAATGCCCGGGCGGTTCCGAGACGGAGATTGATGTTTGACAAAGATGGGTTTTTAGTGGGTAGGCCCTCTGGGTAGAGTAGAGAGGGAGATCCCCACACTCCGGCCCTAAAGGCGTTTCCCATCTAAAAAAGACTACCACGAAAAAATAAACTACTACCACCTTAATTTTGCTACTACAACCCAAAAATAGACTACCACTTTAATTTTGCTACTATCACCCAAAAATAAACTACTACCACCTTAATTTTGCTACTCCCACACAAAAATAAACTACTACTACCACCTTAATTTTGCTACTAACACCCAAAAATAAACTACTACCACTTTAATTTTGCTACTATCACCCAAAAATAAACTACTACCACCTTAACTTTGCTATTGCCACCCAAAAATAAACTACTACCACCTTAATTTTGCTACTACCACCCAAAAATAGACTACTATCACTTTAATTTTGCTACTATCACCCAAACTTTGCTACTTTTTTTGCTACTACCACCTTAACTTTGCTACTACCACCCAAAAATAAGCTACTACCACCTTAATTTTGCTACTACCACCCAAAAATAAACTACCACCACTTTAATTTTGCTACTATCACCCAAAAATAAACTACTACCACCTTAACTTTGCTATTACCATCCAAAAATAAACTACTACCACCTTAATTTTGCTACTACCACCCAAAAATAGACTACTATCACTTTAATTTTGCTACTATCACCTAAACTTTGCTACTTTTTTTGCTACTACCACCTTAACTTTGCTACTACCACCCAAAAATAAGCTACTACCACCTTAATTTTGCTACTACCACCCAAAAATAAACTACCACCACTTTAATTTTGCTACTACCACCCAAAAATAGACTACTAACACATTAATTTTGCTATTACTACCCATAAATAAACTACAACAACTATAGTTTTGCTACTACCACTACCACTACCATAAGCAACATAAAAATAAAATGCAAAAATATCAGGAGTAAGAAAACAAACAAGATTAAATAAATTAAACACTGCGATTCTAAAAATGCTTTTATGGTTTGCATTGCAAATCTCGGATTAAATTTTAAGTACTCCGTAGAGATTTTTCAAAAATTAAAATATTTATTAACTATTTCATAACTCTACCTTCTACTAGCTTAGACCCCATTGACTTATTGTTCAACTTGCAAACCTTTTTATTAAGTTCAATTTTGAAAGTATTTTTTCCTTTTGAGCTGGCGATGTAAAGGGAGTACGAGAAACAAGTACGGTGGTAGACAAACAATTAAGGTGGTGGTAGTCTATTTTGGAGTAATGCTAAGAAATAGGCGATAGTTTACGTGCCAGATATTAACGCGTATAAGCTGGTCAGTAAATTACGCTGGTTAGTAAAATAGATTTTCCCGTCCAAAATATCAAAGTAATTTTACTATAAAAATTGAAAAAAAATTGCAGACGTTTGAAAATCACTGGATTTTTATAAATATGTTACCATATGCATCAATCGTATGTTGTTGTTTATCTCAAAGTTAAAACTTTTTCCAAAAATGTTTAAGAAATACAAAAATTAAAAAAAAAATGCGAAAAAAAGATCATAAATAAACTTGTTTCTACATTCAAAATAATTCAAATATATTTGACTATTTAACACTCACCCTCTATAACAGAACAATCGATGACAATTACATGATATTTGATATACCGATTTTTATATTCATATGATTGTTAAGATAAAAATAAATACATATCATAAAAAGTATTTTATTTCTTGTATTTATATCTTATACTTATACTTTTAGTAACTGTCATTTAGATGTACCCTTGACACCGTCAACAGCGGAGGGATAGAACATCTCTTCTGATAGCGAATGTCAGAAATCGTGTTCAGTTCAGGGTATATAATATATGTTTACTTTACCATTAGTATATCGAATCAATGAAATTTGTAGATGTTACATTTATCCTCAGTAGTTTGGAATAAGATTTTTATTGTGTTATGTTCAGTTTTATTTGGATATTGAAATAAATTTTAGAAAATAACTTAGAATTATGCACTAATAACATAATGTATAATGATTAAATATAAAGTGATTATGCAGAGATATTTCAATAATCACCCAACAATCTAAGATGAACTAAACAAGTTATCATTTATTATAGTTTAATTTAATCATCATCATTTTACTTGTACGAGATCTGAGCAGTTACGCCTTTTGATTTATCATTCTCTCTAACTTTCTATATTCTTCGTTGAAATCCTACTGGTAAGTAATGAGAGTTTGTTCAAACAAATGTTGTGAAAGAAATTATGACATACAAAATGTATCGCATAGTGATTTGATACATAACGGGCTTAGTACCGAGGATGTGGTCGATGTCCTCTTAGGTTATCCCATTGGCACCCCAAACAATAACGCCGACAGTATAATGGACATGATTGTCTCTATGAAATTGTGGATTGCGACTTTTACCACGTCGTCTTCTCACCTATACCTGGTCACGAGTCACGAAAGACCACATGATTCCATTTCTGATCTCATTGAATTCTCTTCCAACACAACGCCAGACGCAGACGGTTAGGCCGATGTTCGTCAGTTTACGCCCCACAACACCGTAGTATGGCGCTTAGAGATTTGTTGGCTCTTCTGGAAATTTCTCGTTCCAACAATGCTTCGTGCAATCCAAAAATTCGACCCTTTCAAGGTCACTAAGCTGTGATCCGAGTATGTATAGTTTATCTAAAGTCAGTTGGAATAGATTGGGATTCCAATTTCGGCACTGTCTTTATCGGCGCCTTTGCCGGCATCCTCGGATCAAAAGAATTAAGTATCTGAGTACTTTCAATTGACTTTGGATATACTATAATAATATTCATATATCACGAGACCTATAAATTTAACCGATTAAACTATTCAAATATATTTCGCTTGGAAAATAGTTGAATGCACAATAATTTAATAAAAACCCGAGACCGCAAAGCAGTCGTGAGTTTTTATTCTAAAATTATTGTGCATGAAATTATTTTCTAAAAATCAAAATCATGCAAAAAATTATTTGGGTAGTTTAATCAATTAAATTTATAGGTTGAGTGATGTACGGCTAGATTATTTCCTGAATGACTTAGAATGAAGCCAATGACTTAGGATGAAGCAAATAACTATAAGAATTTTATTAACTATAAAATTTAATGTTTTTAAATGAACTGTTGCCAAAATCTCTCAGAATTAGTGATAAACGACAAAAAGAAAACCCAAAAGGATGCCGAAAAAATAATCGCGGTTAAACTGGTCTTGGGATTTAATCACTTATCTGAACAAAGTTTATTCGAAAAATTAGATTAGCTGATTCGTCCATTTCACGATGAAGGAAATAATCTCCCAAAAATTAACGCACCAACGTGAAATTCTAAGATAATTTGATGTTATTTTAAATCAGACCCGGTATATTTTTTTCCCAGAGGGGAATTCCTACCTTCAGTTTATATTTTGTATAGTTTTTGCCCGATATGTGCCAATTTTTTCTTAAACTTTTTTACAAGAATTCACAAACAAGTAGTAAGGTATCAGAATTGAATTAGTTCTCAGTATTTCTAAAGTACCTCCTGCGTTTACTTTGTATTTCTTCTCCAAATCTTCACTAATTTTAATTATTATGGAACCTCCCAGTCGAAATTTAACTAGCGAAGAATGCGCTGAAGCTGTAGTGTTGTGGAAAGAGGGAACCTTCCGAAGATTTGGTAGTCGATTTGATGTTAATCATACAGCCATTTCACGGGTAGTACTAGTACACAAATTCCTAGAAAAAGGAAATCATTCTCGTAGGTCAGGACTAGGTCAAAATAGCATTACAACACCAAATCAAGATAGATTTTTAAGAATTCTGCCTACAGATATGCCTACATAGCCTACAGATTCAACTGCGTGAGGTTCGTGGTCTGGAAATTAGTCATGAAATAGTTCATTTACGATTAAGAGAATCTGATTTAAGATCAAGAATTGCTGCTCGAGGTCTTTCTTTAATCATAGATCACCGACGAGAAAGACTACGTTTTGCCAGAGAACACGTAAATTGGTTTAGAGGCTGATTGGGAACGTGTGCTATTTACAGATGAGTCCCGATTCTGCCTGTACAATAATGATAAACGTGTCCGTGTTTTTCGACGACCCAATGAACGTTATGCCCAATGCAATTTCTCACAAACTACATTATTTGGAGGAGGGTCAATTATGGTTTGGGGAGGGATTTCTTTGACGGCGCGTACCTTTCGCACCATATATCGGTGATAATTTCTTGTTCTCGTTGCTTCAACGCCAGACCGACCGTTGCACGAGTTGTCAGAAATTATCTAGACGAGGTCCAAATTAACACCCCGGCATAGCCGGCTCGTAGTCCAGACCTAAATCCTATTGAAAACCTGTGGGATATCTTAAATGGGCGGTTAAGATCAGAACCATCGAACCAAACAATCTGGAAACGTTGGGTGAGAGGCTAATCCATATCTAGGAAAATTTGGATCAAGATGCAATAACGCAGCTTATTTTAAGTATAAATCAATGATGCCAAGATGTTATTCGTGCCAGAGGTGGAAACACTCGCTTCTAAAAATGTTTTTGTCAATTTTGTTTTTATACCGCTAATTTCAGAATTTTCACTTTTTTAGAAATTTCAGGATTATTGTAAAGATTAAACAGATTAAGAAGTAGTTTAACTATAATTAACTTTACTATGATTTATTTAATATCAATAAACTTGATTTAATATTGTGGTGCGTTAATTTATTGAAAAAGTGTATTTTTTTAATTCTTGAATGAACTACAATTGAATCGCTACAATGTGTATAATAAGAATATAAAACTAATATTGTTACTCAAACTATGTTTTTTATAGCTACTTTAAGAACTATGTGAAGATTTATTATGTTTTCGGGAAGTTAATATTTATCAAAAAATATATAATCATCGTATTATTCAGAGGCTGTAATATTAATTTGATGCTTATTTTGCTATTATTCTCGTAAGTAAAATTATTACATTCAATAGGT